CAATAAAGGAGTTTAGATCTGTACCTATAAAAGTAGAAACAATAGTACCAAACAGTAAATGGTGTGTGGAACAGTACAAATATTAATAGAATAAATATAGAATTAGTTTAGATTAATAATAGACTAATAATAGATTAATATAGAATTAATATAGAATTCTATAGAATAGAATTAATACAATAGAAATATTAGCAGTGTTAATAGTAGTTAGTAGTATAATAGAGGAAAAAGATATATGTGTGGTAAAAGTCAGTGGGTTCAGTGTGCCTCAAGGTCTGCTTTCCATTAATTTAGAATGGTTTAAAGTAAGCTTTTGGAAAATAGGAAGATTGCTTTCTGTAATCCTTTCCCAGGCCTTTGATTCCAAAAGGATTGTGTTAGAGGAGTTTTAAGTATTTTATGCAGTTCTTAAACACTTTTCAGTGGTGAGTTAAATCTTTTATTATATCTGGCTGTGGACTCCATTGGATCATTTTCATTTCTTGTGATGGTTCAGTATAGCACAGAGTGTTTGTCAAGCAATGGCTGAGAAAACCTTTCCCCCTAGTGTTTTCACAAATCCTGCTGATTAGCTAGGTGGCGAGAAATGCCACCTGGTGGTTGTAGGACTCTCATTTTCCTCACGGTTGTCTGTGCTTTTCTCCTCTTTCTAGTTACAGTCACACTGGGACAGCTGATGCAGCTTCACACCATATGATTTCAATGAGTTTAAAAATAGCAAAGAACTCACTAAACCACTTGGCATAAAGATTCCCATGTGGAGAGAATGAGACAAAGTGAGTCTCAGAAAGAGCAACCAGGCAGAAAGCTATACACCAGTCTTAACATTCTCTAAGATTCAAGGAGAAGGAACCGTGAGATCCGTGAGACATGTTGATTCTTTCCATTCCTCCCTCCCCCAGCCTTTCCCAAAGATGGCATGCAGGCACTCAGTAATTACTTGGACTGAGTGAATGGCTGCATGAATGAAGCATGATATTATGCAGTACCAAGTGAGAATTAGCAACACGACCCAAATTTAGAAGCAGATGGAATAGTCATACTTCTCTGAATCTGTAGGTGCTATACCATTGAAGTCTAGGACTGAATCATTCCTAAACATATAGTCATAAGATTAACTTACATTTTTTGCCTGTTTTAACAAAACCTGGTACTTATTTCCAAAGAAGCCAAATTTTCCAACTTAAAGAGTAAGAGTTTTCATGAATTAAGAACTTGATATGACTAGGTGACACCATAATTTATTGCCTAAATCAGTTTGCTTTGGAATGTTAGAGATTACAAGCTATTAATATTTATGCTGTGAAGACAGCATAAACCAGAGTGTCCCTGGAAACCAGGATGTGTGATCACCTGTCTCATAACCAGCCTGTGTGCTATTTCCAGGCTTCACTCTCATTTATAAATTTTAAACATCATAAGGTACCACAGACTTCTAAGAGAACAGATTCTATTCATTTCTGAAGTGGAAGGAAATAACTATTTTCTTTTAATTTAATGTATTCCAGGGACACCTGGGTTGCTCAGTTGGTTGAGCGTCCGACTTTGGCTCGGATCATGATCTCACAGCTTAGGGGTTGGAGCCCCACATTGGGCTCTGTGCTGACAGCTCAGAGCCTGGAGCCTGCTTCGGATTCTGTGTCTCCTTCTCTGCTTCTCCCCTGCTCGTGCACTAGCTCTCTCTCTCTCTCTCTCTCTCTCAAAAATAAATATTAAAAAATTTTTAAAAATTAATATATTCCATTACTTCTATTTTCTAGTTGTGGAAGCAGCATTCTTAACTGTGACTGGCTTTCTAGAGTGCTTGAGGCAAAAGAGTGCATTTACGGTGATTTTTTATCATTAGCGGGTCGCTGGCATAGGGCATTTCTAGTGGCAACATGGGAATTTTGAGTTAGAAGAGAGTCTAACATTGTGGAGCCCAGTACATATCATATTTTAGAGAAAAAAAACCGAGGCCAAGAGAAGCCCTCGCCGAAGTCAGTGGCAAATCTTGGATTAGCGCCTAGGGCTCTGGAGTTCTTGTATAGAATTCTTTCCCATTATGCGATGACAACATCAGTAATGGCTGAAACTTTTCGGGTGCTTACTGTGTACCGTGCATTATGTGCAGCACATTACATGTCCTGTTGTCCTCTGGTCTTCACAGTGACTTTATGAGATTGCTGTTATTGTTGCCATTTTGTAGATGAGGAAACCAAAGTTTAGAGAGTGAAATAAACAGCTCAAAATCTCACACCTCGTTAGTGACAAAAAAGACAGGATTTGAACTCGGGCAACTGACTACACCAGATATTTTTCACTACCATGCTGCTCTTTTGCCTGACTTTTCTATTAACTTCTTCAAGAGGTGTCCTGTTCCATTGCTTAATTTCTTATTTTCAGAAATGCATTGCCTATTCACTCATACATTATACTGTTTAGAAAAACAGACCATACCCACTTATTCTTTGTATCCTGAAAACATCTGTCTTTCTCTGTATATGTAGTTAAGCAACAAGTATTTTCTTAGTGCATTTATGAATTGTTTGAATAAAGCACTTAAATTGATGAAAATGCTTTGTTGTTGTAAGGGTGAGAAGACATTCCTCAGGGCACCTGGGTGGCTCAGTCGATTAAGCATCAGACTTCAGCTCAGTTTGTGAGTTCAAGCCCCGTATTGGGCTCTGTGCTGATAGCCCTCACTCACTCACACTCTGTCTCTTTCTCTCAAAAAAAAAATAAGTAAACATTAAAAAAAAAAAGTGAGAATGTACATGTCCTAGGAGCTTCTAATGTTTGAACTTCCCATATATATGTATATATATTCTCTAAGCTTGGTTAGAGAAACTAAATTCTTTATAAATTGGCCTATTCATTTATAAGTTGTTATAGATGGCACTCTCTAACTTCAGAGAACAGTCTGATTATAAGCCAAAACTCAAGGAAGTTAATTTGGGGGTTAATTTTTAAATAATTTAATTAAAAATTTTAAATTTAATTAAAACATTTAATGATATTTAACACATTTAGGGGCACCTGAGTGCTCAGTTGGTTAAACATCCAACTCTTGATATCAGCTCGGCCCCATAATCTTGCGATTTGTGGGTTCGAGCCCCATGTTGGACTCTGTGCTGGCAGCATGGAGCCTGCTTGGGATTCTCTCCCCCCACCCCCCACCCCCCTCTGCTCGAGAGAGAGGTTGCTCTCAATCTCTCTTTCTCTCTCTCAAAATAAATAAATAAACATTAAAAAATACTTAACACATTTAAATAATTTCATAGAATTTAAGTATAGAGAATGCAAAAATGCAAATAACTGGGTCACACTGGTTGTGGTCTCTTTTTTTTTTTCCATTAAAAAAAACTACTTCCAGACTTCATTTTTTTATATGAGCTTTGAGATAATTAAAAAAAATTTTTTTATAATGCTTATTTATTTTTGAGAGAGAGAGTGCAAGCTGGGGAGAGGCAGAAAGAGGGAGACACAGAAACAGCATCAGGCTCCAGGCTCGGAGCTGTCAGTAGAGAGCCCAACGCAGGGCTTGAACCCACAAACCGCAAGATCATGACCTGAGCCCTAGTCGAATGCTTTAACCACCTGAGCCACTCAGGTGCCCCGAAATAATTTTTAATTCAGTAAAACTATATTGATTGTAAAAGTACTTTGTAGTGTTTAGTAAATTGTATCTTGTTTTCCAAATTCTATAATTGCTTTTTTACAAATTGCCCATAAACTTTCACTTACATGAGGATGCTTGCTTAAACTGATTTGTGAGTTACATGCAGGGCATCTAAAGAGCTATTTTCTGAGGATATCATTTATTTTGTTTGTAAGAGACCACAAAAAGTATTTTTAGAAAGTTGTATTCTTGGATATAGAACAGCTTAATGATTTAGGAAGAACTTGAAGACCTACTCCATTTTTTTCTGAATATAAAATAATAGCATAATTAATTATAGCTCCCTGTGATAATAGGGACAAAAATATTGAATATAGTTTCATGGGAGGTATATTGTTATCCTACTTTAGAATTTCTGAAAGATTACATGTTCATGTTTTTCTTAGTACCTTGCATGTCTCCTGTTTTGGCTGCTGACCTTATAAGTTAGGTCTTTTCTATACTAAAAATAGAACATGAGTTGGTTGCTCAAGGAACCAATTAATAATAGATGTTTCATTTTATGTACTCCTCTTATGTATTGTATGTAATCATTAACTTAGTGAACTGGAGAGAGGTTATCCAGGTCATTAAGAGCTGTGTTTCTAGATCTGAGAAGCCATAAACCGATATATACAATATAGGAGACAAAAAAAAAAAAAAAGACTTACTGCTTTGTATAGTTAGATTTTCAGTGAATGAAAGGGTTTATGATTTGTGAATCACAGATTAATAAAAAATAAGGTATGACATATGACTTATACCAGCACTATTATAAATATAATAAATGTTTACAAAATAATAAATGAAGAGTTAGATAGCTAATAAGTAGGTAGATTGTATTGAAAAATTGTATGGATTTAGTGTTTTATTTAAGTGATTTATGATTTTTTTAAGATTTTTTTAATGTTTATTTTGAGAGAGTGAGTTCGTGTATGCACACAAGTGAGGGAGGTGTGTGAGAGAGAGAGAGAAATGGTGGTGGGAGAGGGAGAGAGAGAAAGAGAGAGAGAATCCCAAGCAGGCTCCTCACTGTCAATGCAGAGCCTGATGCAGGGCTTGATCTCACAAATGGTGAGATCATGACCTGAGCCAATGTCAAGAGACAGATACTTAACCAACTGAGCCACCTAGGTGCCCCAAATGATTTCTGATTTTTAAAAAGTAAATGTATGATGAAGGCTGAGAAACAAGTAAGTAGGAAGTTTTCTTTTTCTTCTTTGAAAAAGTAATTTTAAAGTTATATTTTTAACATTGTTCCTCATATAATTGTTGTCCAGTCTCTATGTAAGAAGGTGGTAGAAATGTTAGGAAGTAATGAGTGCTCTCCTTTCTGACAAATCAGTTTTATTTCATTTAGGTTCCAATTGTTGCAGTCACTGCTACTGCAAGTTCTTCAATCCGGGAAGACATTATACACTGCTTAAAACTGAAGAATCCTCAGATTACCTGTACTGGTTTTGATCGACCAAACTTGTATTTGGAAGTTGGACGAAAATCAGGAAACATCCTTCAGGATCTAAAGCAATTTCTTGTCCAAAAGACAAGGTGAAGAATTCATGGTTGATAAATTTTGGTGAACTATTTCCTTCTTAAATTTTTGTTTTATTTATTTATTTTTTACTATTTTCTTCTAATTCATATTTAACATATTTCAAGTTCTACTTAGCTTTGATTCAAGTCAAGTGTGATGTCATATTAACAAGACAGTGACTGAGTAAATAGCCTATTTCTGAAGTCAGAAACTAATTCATCTGGTATTTTTCTACTTAATTTTACTTGAACAGGATATATGCTCTTTTTTTTTTTTTTTTAACTAAACTTTACACCCAATGTGGGGCTTGAACCAATGATCCTGAGATCATGAGTCACATGTTCTACTGACTGAACCAGCCAGACACACCGATACTCTTAATAATTGATAAGTAAACAACAAAAATAACTGAGTCTTTTATCTGAATTCTATCTAGTTTGCTAATTATGTGACTAATTGAGTATTAGGGAATTTTATTTATTTATTAAACAAAATTTTTTTAATGTTTATTAATTTTTGAGAGAGAGAGTGTGCAGGGGAGGGGCAGACACACACACACACACAGAATCTGAGCTGTCAGCACAGAGCCTGATTTGGGCCTTGAACCCACAAACCGTGAGATCATGACCTGAGCAGAAGTCGGACACTCAACCTACGGAGCCACCCAGGCACCATGAGTATTAGGGAATTTTAAAAGCCATCTTATTGATAAGTACTTTTGAGCCCTTACTATGTGCCAAGGACTCTCGTAGGTGCTTTATGTAAATGATGTAGTAATCCTTGTAACTGCTCAATAAGCTACATATTATTTTCATTTTACTGATGAAGAAACTGTCACTAGTACTTTGTCCTGTTTGTTTTGTTTGGAGGCATTTTATATATATGCTAAGAAGCTTTCCTTTGCCTTATTTCCCTGATCTGTCTCGTTGGTGAAAATCTTATAACTGTCATGTTATGAAATGTGTTAAGTCAGAATTCATGAAAATAATGTTTGTCCTACCAACACAAAGATGAAACAAATCTAGGCAAATAGAGTTTAAAGAACATCATTAGTTTCTTCCTTAAGGACTACTGGGGTCCTTTAGGATGAGTTTTAATGTAGGATTTGTTATTGGCTGGATTGTACTACATTTAGATTAAAACAAGAAAGTAATGGGGACGCCTGTCTGGCTCTGTCAGTAGAGCATGCAGTTCTTGATCTCAGGGTTGTGAGTTCGAGCCCCACATTAGGTGTAGAGATTTCTTAAAAATAAAATATTTTTTAGCTCTGGGGGCGAGTCGTTGCGTCCTGACTTCAGCCAGGGCACGATTCTGGTCGGAGTTCGAGCTCCGCTGTCGGGCTCGCTGATGGCTCAGAGCCTGGAGCCTGTTCCCGATTGTGTCTCCTCTCTCTCTCTGCCCCCCTCCCTGCCTTCATGCTCTGTCTCTCTCTGTCCCAAAAATAAATAAACGTTGAAAAAAAAATTTTTTTTTTAAAATAAAATATTTTTAAAAATAAATAAAAGATAAAACAAGAGGGGTGCCTGGGTGGCTCAATTGGTTAAGCATCCGACTCTTGATTTCAGCTCAGGTCAGGTCATGATCTCACAGGTTCATGAGATAGAGCCCCACGTTGGGCTCTGCACTGACAATGTGGAGCCTGCTTGGGATTTCCTCTCCCTCTCTCTCTACCTCTCCCTGGCTCTGTCTCTCAAAATAAATAAACATTAAAAAAAAAAAATAAAACAAGAAAGTAATGAATATATTCTGAGTGTTCTGGCTGTGCTAGAGATCTCTCTGAAATGAGTACTCATTGCACTTAACTTCTTTTGTGCCCTAGAGGGAAAACATTCTCTTGAAGAAGGCTGCTTATTCTAGGCTAGAGTCTTTTAACAGTGGGATCATTATCTATTCTCCTAATCTTTGATCTCCTCTCCCATCTATATTTTTCTCAATCTCAGTGGCCTTCCCCTAATAACCTTCTTCTTTTGAAACTGTTTGCCTTTGTGTGTATGTGTGTTTGTGTGTGTGTGTGTCACACTGTGACATTTTATCTTTTGGACTGTATTGTCCTTTTATGATATCTTATGTAAATGTTCTCTTACCATCTTCCATGTTAATTCTGCCAGTGAAGGTCCCTTAGCCCAGACTGTTACCAAACTCCCCCCCACCCCCAGGGTTCCTCCTTGCTTCTTCTATACACAATTTTCAGATTCGCCATCTGAAAGTACATCCCTGAGTCTTGGCATTTCTCTCTGGTGCCACCCTCTTTCCTGAGACTAAAGGCCAGAATCCTTAGCCTGGCATCCAAGACCATCCAAGATTTTTGTATTTAATATGACGTGGTTTTTCTGAGAGCAAAGCAAAAAAGATTTTTGCATCCCATTTTCAATCCTTCAAGAACAGTATGGTAGCAGCCAACCACTGAGAGTCAGAATGCTTTCTGTAGATCATAGGCAAAGAGAAATTTTTCCCTTAATGAGCAATAATTAGATGGAGGGTAATTAAGACTTCAGAGTGTTGCCTTTTATTTCCATTTTATTCCCTTTATTTAATTCTACCATTTTTTTTTCTAGTCATTGAGCTAACATGTTTGTTAAATCCTGACTTTATTTGTTTTCTATAATCGTGATACATTGAAATTGGGTAGACAAGCCTCTCATCTGTCTAATTTAGTGATTAGATGAAGATAGATTTTTTTCCCCTCCCAGAAATTGTTGTGAGGAAATAACAATGTTTAGTAAACCACTTGGTGAAGTAATAAACCCCCCCCTTTTTTTTGAAAGAGAGAGAGATGAGGGGGAGAGAGAAAAAGAGCGCAGGTGGGGGAGGGTCAGTGGGAGAGGGAAAGAGAATCTTAAGCAGGCTGCCTGCCCACTCCCAAAGCGGGACTCTAGATCTCACAACTGTGAGAACGTGACCTGAGCCAAAATAAAGAGTCAGAGGCATTGCTAACTGAGGCACTCAGGCACCCCAGTAATGAATCCTGTTGTAATAGAGATTTTTACACCTTTGATTCTTCTGCTCTGTAAGTTCAAATTTTTGTGTATTTTTTACCTTTTTTTTAGTGTAGAAAGTGATACACAGTCTTATTGATGTGAACACTACAGATGTGCATAAATTCCAGAGTACTTAGATCTTCCCATCTGATTCCTCACGTATCATCACTGTTGACGTCTGGGCACTTTATATATATACCCTTTATATATACCCTTCTGTTCTCTGACTGTGCCGTGCAGATGTGCACTGCCAGCTTTTGTTGTTAGCTCTGTGCAGAAATAGGTACACAGTATATCCATTTTTTAGGCAATGTTCTCCTTTGACTTAAAGTGTCTTTCCTAAGATACATGTTAAAATCTGCAATTATTACAGATATATCTCTTTCTCCCTTTATTTAGTTCTGTAGATTTTTGTTTCATGTGTGTTAAAGCACTATTAGTCGGTACATACACATTTAGGATTTTCATATCTTCAATAAATTGAAATGTTAAAGCTTTTTTTTCTTTTTTCT